ACGTTCGAGGGTTGCCGGGGGGTCCAGAGGAATGGGGCCCCACGCGGAGTCAAATTAGACCTCGCCATCCTGTGGGGGTTGCGATCCTTGAAACTGACGCCACTTCCGAGGGCTGCTGGGTTGTCCAACGGGGTGGGGTCCTACGCGGATCCAAATTAAACCTCGCCGCCCTTTGGGGGCTGCGATCTGCAAAACAATCGCCACTTTCGAGGGGTGCTGTGGGTCCACTGGAGTGGCGTCCCACGCGGACCCAAATTCGACCTCGCCATCCCAGGGTGGGCTGCGATCTGAGAAACTGTCGCCGCGTTCGAAGGCTGCTGGGGGGGTCCAGCGGAACCAGCTCCCACGCGGACTCAAATTAGACCTCGCCACCCCTGGGGGCCGGGCCAGCTTCGAACACCAATTGTCTTGGTAAACTTTCTGCGGTGTCCCCGGGTCAGTTTGCAATATAGTTTCAATGGTTTCTCCAAGGGAGTCGCTGTCAAAGGCTGGACGCACGCGCGCTGACGTACATCAGCGTTGCTCACGTGAAACAACCAAACGGGGGGGAATGTTGAAGACTCGTCGTCGGCATCTCGCTTGGAAACCATATTTCCGATGCCTGCCTGTTTTGAGAAGCATGCACGACTCGAGCCCGTGTAACAACTTGGAGAAAGCATACGAATACAACATTTGTGTTTTCCGCTCTCTGGTCAGGTTCGAAACTGGCCCGGCGCATTATCGTTTACCCCGAAACTTGAAGTCCCGGCGATTGAGAGGACGCCCCCGGATACAATGGACGAAGTACCTACACGCTGAGGCCTTGGCCGTGGCGGGCAACGATCCCGGCACTCTACAAGCTCTGCTGCAGAATCCCTCAGACTGGCCCGTGGCAGTCAGGCAGCGAAACGCCCTCTAGTTGATTGCCCGTGCCCCTATTATTCCTTTCCCCCTTTCCTCCTTTCCTCACCCTTCCCACCCCACTCGCCCATGGAGACTATCGCTTGCAGGGTACCGAACAACGGGCCTCCAAGTACAATGATTGCTGGTAAATACAAACATTTCTCCTGCATGGCGTAATTGTTTTTGATTGGCTTTCCTGCATGTGCGAGTTCGAAATCTTTCCGTGCCGATGCGCCGTTTAGGTGCGGCGTTGTGCGTGTGTGTGTGTGTGTGTGTCACCCCGAAAAGGATGCGATCTGCGAAACTGCTGCCAGTTTCGAAGGCTGCTGGGGGGGTCCAACAGAGTGGCGTCCCACGCGGAGTCAAATTAGACCTCGCCATCCCTGGGGGACTGCTATCAACGAAACGGTCGCCACTTTCGAACACTACTTAGGGGTCCAGCGGAGACGGTCCCACGCGGACTCAGATTAGACCTCGCCACCACTGGCTGGGTGTTTCTGCGATACTGTCGCCACTTTCGAAGACACCAGGGGGAGTCAAGCGGAGTGACGTCTTACGCGGATTCAAGCTACGCCGCAACAGGGGGGCTGCGATCTGCGAAACGGTCGCCACTTTCGAGGGGTGCTGTGGGTCCACTGGAGCGACGTCCTACGCGCGGACTCAAACTCGACCGCGCAATCCCTGGCCGACTGCGATCTGCGAAACGGTCGCAGCTTTCGATGGCCGCTGGGGGTCCAGCGGGATGACGTGCTATGCGCACTCGGATTAGACCTCGCCATCCCTAGGGGGCTGCGATCTGCGAAGCTGTCGCCACGTTCGAGGGCTGCTCAAGGCCCAACGGAGTGGCGTCCAACGCGCACTCGGACTAGACCTCGCCATCCCTGGGGGGCTGCGATCTCCGAAGCTGTCGCCACTTTCGACGGCTGCTGGGGGTCCACTAGAGCGAGGCACCACCCAGACTCAGCGTAGACCTCGCCATGCTGGGGGGGGCTGCGATCTGCGAAGCTGTCGCCACGTTCTAAGGCTGCGGGGGGGGGGGCAGCGGAATGAAGCACCACCCAGACTCAGAGTAGACCTCGCTGTCCCTGGGGTGCAACGATCTGCAACATTGTCGCCACTTTTGAAGGCCTCAGCGGGGTTTTGCCGGGCGCTGTCGCTGGCCGCCTGCAGACCTGGCTGCGCGCCTTTTAGCGCATAGCTCCCGCGCTGAATCGTGCAGGAAGGCAACAGGGAAACTGGCGGACGAGCTAGGCCTCGCTCGCTTCTTGCACGACCAATAAGCATGTTTAAGCATGTTGTCGAGCGCCGCGGCATCATTGCGCAGGCAACTCTGCTTCGTCAGCGTACTACCTACACAAGAAAGAATATTCGGTCTCCTCCCGTCACGTTCGTCGTCGTCCTCTGCCCTGTGCCACCTTCTTTCTGCTGCTGCCGCGCAGATGGTTCGGACCCCCGCGCGTCCTTGTCTTGCTTTTCGTTCCCGCGCCCCTGTCCTCCTGAAGCACGGGTCCTCGCTCCTCGCCCTTCTGGTGTTGTCCTGTGGATCGCGCCACGTGCGCGCACCCAATGCAATTTGCACAACATACAACGGCGCCTGCACTGTCACAGTCGTGACAAATGTGGGCAACATCCTCTTAACACTCGATGCACATTAGTTGGATACGTCGCGAGGTAATTTGTCCCAAGCCTCCTGCGTTGGGTACTCGTGTTGAATAGAGCACTGCGGTCGCACACCTCTTTCCTCCCGCCTCCCTTCTCCTCTCATCCCTCCTACCTGCCTTCTGCCCTGTCTCCTACCTCGCCATCCCTAGGGGGCTGCGATCAGCGAAACTGGCGCCAGTCTCGCGGGCTGATTGAAGGGTCCAGAGGGGTGACATGCTACGCACTCTCGAACTCGCTGTGGGGCTGCGATATGCGAAGCTGCCGCCACTGTCGAAGGCTGCTGGGGGGGGGGCCAGCGGAGTGACGTGCTACGCAGACTCAACTTTCAAGGGCTGTTGGGGGGTCTAGCGAAGCGACGTCTTACGCGAACCACCAGGGCACCTCGCCATCCCAGAAGGATGCTGCGATCTGCAAAACTGTCGCAACTTTCGAGGGCTGCGGAGGGACCCAGCGAAGCGACGTCTTACGCGGACCACCAAGAAACCTCGCCATTCCTGCGGGCCTGCGATCTGCGAAACTGTCGCGATTTTCGATGGCTGCTGGGGGGTGCAGCGGGGCGACGTCTGACCCGGACTGCCGAGAGACCTCGTCATCCTTGGGATGCTGCGATCTGCGAAACTGCTGGGGGTGCAGCGGCGTGACGTCTTACGCGGCAAACCAGGAGACCTCGCCATCCCTGGGGTCCAGCGGGATGACGCCTTTTTCTGTTACCTGGGGGTTGTTTCGAATTCCCGGGTCGTCGCGAAAGAAGCGGAGAAGCTGGCGGGCGAGCTGAGCCTCGCGCGCTTCTTGCATTCAGTATAAGCAGGTAGTCGCTGTGCCGAGCGCCGCGGCGACATGGCGCAGGCAGCGCTGCACCTTTAGCGCACTACCGACAAAAACAACACTCTTCGGTCTCCTCCCGTCACTTTCGTCGTCGTCCTCTCCGTCTGCTGCTGCTGCCACGCTGACAATTCGGCCTCCCACGCGTCCTTCTCCTGAGGAGGAGGGAGGTGGAGGAGGAGGAGGAGGAGAAGGAGGAGGAAGAGGAGAAGGAGGAGGAGGAGGAGGAGGAGGAGAAGGGAGGAGGAGGGAGGAGGGAGGAGGGAGGAGGAGGAGGAGGGGGAGGAGGAGGCGGAGGAGGAGGAGGAGGAGGAGGAAGAGGAGGAGGAGACGGAGGGGAAGGAGGAGGAGGACGAGGAGGAGGAGGAGGGGGAGGGGCAGGAAAAGGAGGAGACAAAGTGTAACGAGGAGGAGGAGGCGGAGGCGGAGGAGGAGGAGGAGGAGGAATGGGAGGAGGAGGATGGGGATGGGGGGAGGAGCAGGATGATGAGGAGGGGGATGAGGAGGATGATGAGGAGGAGGAGGAGGAGGAGGAGGAGGAGGAGGAGGAAGATGCCCTCCTCGTCCTTGGCGCCCGCGAGAGGGCGAGGCGCTGCGTCGACGAGGAAGACGGCGACATGCTTTTGTCCGCGGCGGGCCAGGGGCCGCGAGGCCGAACACGCGTCGGCCGATCAGCATCGCGGGTCGTGCCAAGCTCGCGCCGCTCGGGGCAATGCGTCAGCAAGGGAGGGGTGAGGAGGGCGAGGGGAGGAACAGGATGACGAGGAAAATGCAGGAGTAGGCGGGAGGATCAAGAAGAGACGGCTCCATGGGAGGAGACGAGGGCGAGGAAGAGGATGAGGAGGAGGATCTCGAATCTAGATTGCTTTGTTCTCGGGAGGCAGGAGGAAGAGGAGGCGCTCGTGCCAGAGGATGAAGAGGAGGATGAGGAGGAGAAGAAAGAGTGGACGGAGGAGGATAGGAGGACGATGACGACGGACACTGATACTCCACCTTCTCCTGCCGCTCGAAAATCCTGAGCCTCCTCCTCCTCCTCCTCCATCTCCTCTTCTTCCGCCTCGTCCCTCGAGGGGCAGGAGGAGAAAGAGGAGGAGGATCAGCAACGACAATATCTACTGTCACTGTCCGCGCATGGCCAAAAAGCGGCGATGCACAATTCCAGGGAGCACGCCCCCCTCTCACTCACAGCGCGTAGGGGAAATGGTGAGAAGGGAAAATACAAAGATGTGGGAAATGGTGGTGAAAGGATGAGGAGGAAGGTGAGGCGCGATGAGAATGGAGAAGGAGGAACTGTGACGGAGATGGTGGGAAGTGGAGGACGAGAGGAAGAGGAGGAGGAGGAGGAGGAGGAAGAGAAGGAGGAGATGGAGGAGATGGAAGAAGAAGGGAAGGGAAGAACCCGGGAGATGAATATTATGGGTAGGCTGATGTGGTGAGGAGGGAGATGTGAGGATGGGGGGGGCAGGAAGTGGAAAGGATTAGTACGAAGAGGAGGAGGAGGAGAACGTGAGGGAGGGGCAGAGGTTGAAGGAGACGGCTGAGTAAAAAGAGGAGGATGGAGGAGCACAAGGTAAGGAGAAAGAGAAGGAGGAGCAGGAAGAGACACATAAGCAGGAAGAGGGGTGTGGAGGATGTCAACCACGACGTTGTCGACCACGCTCGGGTTCAACTTCGCATCCAGGAGCTCGCTGAGAAACGATACATCCTGCGGATCGGTCCTCTTCCTGCAGCCTCACTCTGCCTCTTCCTACTCGTGATCATGTTCCCCATGATCGTTGTTTATCATCCGCCTCCTCCCCCTCCTCAGTTTACACCACCTCCTCCTCCTCCTCCTCCTCCTCCTCCTCCTCCTCATCCTACCCCCTTAGTGCACCCATGACCATCCGCATCTTTATCCCCATGCATCTCATCCCCATCCCCATCCCCATCCTCACACACATCATTACATATTCCATACTCAACATTATCATGTGCCTCCCGCCTCTGCTACCTCTACTCTTCCCTACCCTCCTCCTCCTCCTCCTCCTCCTCCTCCTCCTCCTCTCCTGCATCTCTCTCCGCCTCCGCTTTCCCCTTCCCTCCTTCTCCTCTTCCCTCCCATTCCTCATCTGCTTGGTCCCCCTCAGCATCCTGCCCCTTCCCCATCATTATGATTTCCCTCCATCCTCTGACCAAGTATCCCTTCTCCTCCCACCTCCTCCGCCTTCCCACCCCATGGAGAGCGACAAGGATGCCTCCTCCTATCCCAGACCCCAGACGTCGTGATCTTTTCTCACACGTCGACCCCCAGAGGTCTGAGCCCACGCCCCGGGACCCGCTTTTCATCCTGAATCGTTTTTGGACAGTCCCGGGGCCCGGCAAGGGCCCCCAGAGGCCAGAAAATAGCGGCAAACCTCCCGCCGCGATTCTGGTCACGACGCGAGAGGGTCTGGGTCCATCCCCCCCCGGCCGAGGACGAGGAGGTGGGGAGGGGCGGCGACGAGGCACGGCTACGCGCAGGAGTGACCCTGGGTAAGAGTGACCCTTGGTGCGCGGCTTCTGGGGGGCCGCGGGGGGACAAAACACAGGAGCGGAAGGCGCTACTATCGCATCGCGTTCGGCGATCGGGGAACCCCATTGTGCCCGCACCAAAGGTCACTCCCGCGAAAGGTCACTCTTACCTCTAGTCGAAAGGCGTATGACGCCCAGGACGCCGGCGAGGCCGCGACGGCCTCCCTCCCCGGGCGTGCGCCCGCGCGCTATTAGGGCGGAGGGGGGTGCCTCCAGAAGCCCCCGGGAGCCCCCGGAGCCCGTGGAGCGACGTCGGCGGCGAGCGAGGGGGCCGGGCCCCCCCGCGGTGTGGCAGATACCGCGGCGGGAGGTTTGTCCCTGCTCTGTTGGCCTCCAGCCATCGCTCGGACGTCCACTCCCTGTGCTTTTTTCGGTTTCGTGCGCGGTTTCTGTCGCCAAATGATCAAGGATGCTCCTCGATGGCCCTCGCCGAATGAGAAATGCACACGTCCGAGCGATGCCAAGGCCTCCGGGGGCCCCTGACGGGCCCCAGGGCCGCCAAAGAACGGCCCAGGGTGAGAAACAAGTCCCCGGGGAAGGGGTGCAGCCCTCTGGGGGCTGACGCCAGCTGTGAACAACTCGAGACGCTGGGGTCAGAGAAGGAGGAGGCCCCCTAAGAGGGCGGCGTGGCTTCTCAGAAGCCCTCGCGCCTTTTTGGGAAGCTTCCGGCCTCTTTGGGAGCACTGCCTCACATGACTTCAAGAGCGCCCAGGAGAGCCCAAAATTACCTCCCAGATGGCTCAAGATACTCCAAGATACCGCAAGATGGCTCCCATGATGCTCCAAGAGGCCCCAAGACCGCTCCAAGACGGCTCCAAGTGGCCAAAGACCTCGCCCAGGAATCCTTCCCAAACCTTCCAAAAACCTAACGGCAAAACATGTGTTTGGCGTTCTCGCCTTTTCGCTCCCGATGGCCATCCGAGGCCTCCACGCTCCCAAGGCTCCCAAGAGCGCTTCAAGAGGGCTCCAAGAGGCGCCCAGGAGGCCCCAACAGGCGCCCAAGAGGCCTCCAAGAGGCTCCCAAGAGACCTCAAAAGAGGCCCCAAAAAGCTCTCCGAGGCACCCAAGACGCTCCGAGAGCCCAGGACCGCCAAGAGGCCCCCAAGACGCTCCAAGAGGCCTCCACTGGGGGACCCTTCCTCTGTGCGCTGCCCACTTCGCTGATCGAGGCAATTCCCCTGAGCATCGTTTCTGGATGGGCTGGTGGGGTTACTTTTTTTTACAGCCGCAGGCGGAAGCGCCGGCGGGGGCTGGTGGGGTTACGCGAAGCGTCTAGAACTGTTGGCTCAAGCCTCAAGCCCTCCCTAGCCTCTCAAAACCACTCCCGTCTCACACGTGGGACTTCGTCAGCTCACGCTGGGGCCCCCAAACTGCGGGCTGCGGTGCAACTTGCAAGCTTCCGTTTTGAGGCTTAGCGTCCCGCCGTGTGGATTACAACGGTTAAGAAGTAGATCCTCCTCCACCTCCTCGGCACCCTCCTCGACGCCGGGCCAGGGGTCGACTCCCCCCCCACGACGAAAACTCATCATTCCACGATTCGTATTTACCTCATCCGCTCTGCTCTTCGCTTCCATCCTCTCCTCTCTCTGTCTCTGTCTACCACTCTACTAATATTGGCATTACGTCGAAAGGACCGCAGATGGCCATCGGCAGACGAAGATGATAACAACGAGCCGCATGCTTGCGAAAGAGCCTGAGCGCCAGCAAGAGCCTGCCAACAAGCTTGCGAAGAGGTGGGCGCCGCAACCATAGTATGGACAGTTAGTCAGGATCTCTTTGATACAAATTCGTTCGCAAGGATGTGTTGTATCAAAGAGTGCTTGGTAAGGATCTCGATTCGGCTGCCTTGTGTCAATGAGGTCCATAATAAAGGACCCTCCAACGAAGAAGCCTTAGAGGAGTTACCTTTCGTAAGGATCCCATCAACAAATATTCGTCGAAAAAGGATTCTTACTCGCGTTTCCTCTAGTACTGCTCCTTTAATACACATACACTTAGCAAGGGATCCGTCGCAATGGATACGTTTACCAAGGCTTCCTTAGTGAGGATACCTTTAGTATGATCACCCCAGTAATAAACAAACACTGAAGTAATGACTCCTTACCACTACTTTTTGCAGTACGGATCCCTTGCTAAAGATGCGAGTTCCTGAGCAATGATACCTTTTTTAAATCAGGGGTCCTTAATTGGGATGCTTGTAGCAATGCCTCCTTCGAGGTGGTTTTAGCAAGGATCCCCGAAGAAAAGATCACTGTCGTAAGGAAGACTTGGTATGACTTCCTTGACTACGGATTCCTTGAGATGGATGCCAGCAGCGAGGGATGCTGAGTACGGACCCCTTAAATGATAATCCCTTGATCAGGATAACTGGTTGGGAGGACAACCAACAAGTGTTTTGTGTGTCCCGTCCCATGGCCACCACGACCACTGAGCTGGGACTGAAGCGGCGGCAGGGTATGAAGGAATTCTTCAGTAAGCATGCGTTCATTCGCGAAGGCGCCCGTATCAATAAATCCTTCGTCCAGAGGGAATCCTCAGTGAGGAAGCAGTCAGTAAGCATGCAATCGTGAGGATGCATTTGTCAAGGGGCCCTTGGCAACAACCACCTCACTGCGGTACCCTTCGTGAGGAGTGGGGCTTTGAAATCGTGTCCCTCGCAGAAGGGGGGGGGGGGGGCGACCCCGAACCCCACGACGGTACCTCCTCCTCCACCTCCGCGTCCTTCCCGACCCTCCTCCCCCCCTCCCCCCCCGCTTCTCCCCGCCTTGCCCTCGCCGAGCGGCGGCGAGGGCGGCGCGCGACGACGACGAGCGACGACGAGTGGCGGCGAGGACGCCGACGGCGACGAGGCCGAGCGGCGACGATCGGCGCGCGGCGGCGAGTGGCGATCGGCGGCGAGCGCCGGGCGGCCTGCCACTGCACCCTGCAGCTCGCCGAGCAGCGGCAGCGCCTGCGCGGCGCGCCCGCCCGCCTCGCACGCGCCGACGCCGGCGCCGTAGCCGACCACGTCCATGAGCCTCGGGCGGGGCGCTCTCCTCGGGCCCTCTGGGCGGCCACGTCGGGCCCCTCCTGTTCCTGACCCTCCTCCTCCTCCTCCTTCTCCTCCTCGCCCTCCTCCTCCTCCTCCTCGCCCTCGCCCTCCTGCTCCTCCTCCGCATCTCCGCCTCCTCCTGCTCCTCCTCCTGCTCCTCCTTCTCCTCCTCCTCCTCCTCCTCCTCCTCCTCCTCCTCCATTCCTTTTCCTTGTACGTAACCTCTCCCTGTCGCACCCCGAGGCCGGTCGAAAGGGTGGGCAGGGCGTTTCGCCGGAGCCTGCCGCACCATGTTTGACACTGAAGCTCAAACATTGGCAACAGCTTCGCAGCTGGACGGCGGGTGGCTTTCAACATGTGGCTCTCACCTTCGCGCCGCGCACAGTGGCTCAATCACGTGCAAGGGCTTCGCGGATGAAGGGCGGATGGTTTTCAAAGTGTGGCCCTCGCCTCAGCGCCGCGCGGCTTCGTTTTCAAACATTGCAAGAGCTTCGCGGATTGAAGGCGGGCCGGTTTCAAACTGTGGCTCTCGCCATAGCGCCGCGCACATTCGTTTTGAAAAATTGCAAGGGCTGCACGGATTGAGGGAGGGTGATTTTCAAAATGTGGCTCTCCCCTCAGCGCCGCGCACATTCTTAAAACAACTTCAAGAGCTTCACGGATTGAAGGCGGTTCTTTTTCATCATGTGGCTCTCGCCTTGGTGCCGCGCACATTTGTTTAAACATTTGCAAAAGTTTCACGGGTTGAGGGCGGGTGGTTTTCAACAACTGGCTGTCACCTCAGTGCCGCGCACATTCGTGTTCTGTGTGTGTTAAACATAAAGCAATGTCGCTGATTGTGGACGGGTCCTTTTCAACATGTGGCTTTCGCTTTACAGCCGCGCACATTTTTTAGATTTGCAAGAGTTTCACGGATTACCATGGTTAACGTACCAGATATGGTGTTCTGGAAAGATTCAGGATGATGCGGGCGCCGCAGTTACTTTGATTCGCGGTGTGGAAGTCCCAAGCATAACATTCTGGCAAGTTCCAAGATCGTCAAGGCGCAACAGTCAGATTGACCCGTGAGGTTGGAGTTTCGAAAGCATTGCTGTGGCACTCTTCAGGATCTTCAAACGACTACCTTCCAACGACGCAGTTCTCTCAGTGGCAATGAACCGTTGTAGCGCCCTATGGAGAGGGAGCTTGGAGGGAGGGTCTATTCCAACATCGTTGATGTCTCTTGGGTTTACACTGGTCCTCCTCCTCCCGCTCCTCCCCTCCACCCCCCCCTCCCCCCCTCCTCCCCCATTCCCCTTCTCTAACGCGGCACGGACTCCGACCCGATGATCGCAACGTCTAGCACAGCAGGAAGACAAGCGACTCGGGCACTGAGCGAATGGTCATAGCGTCTAGCAAAGCAGGGCCACCGACTCGGGCCAATCATGACATAAGATACACGCCGAAAGTGAAACACACGATGAGGAGAAGGAGGAGACCGAGGAGGAAGAGGAGGCAGGAGGAGGCAGCAGGATGAGGAGAAGGAGGAAGAGGAGGACGGGGGAAAGAAGAACGGCCCAGCGTGCGGGCGCAGGGGTAAAAGCCCGCAGGGGCGCTGAATATTTTCCCACCCACCCTCTCCTCCTCCCCCCGCCTCTCCTCCTCCTCCGCCGCCTCCTCCTCCTCCGCCTCCTCCCCCTCCTCCTCCCCCTCCTTCTCCTCCTCCTCCTCCTCCTCCTCCTCCTCCTCCTCCTCCTCCTCCCTCCCCTTCCCCCTCCTCCCTCCCCCATCAGCCTCGGCGGGCGCTCCGCCCTGGAGGGTAAGGTCGAGCAGGACGCCGAGGACGAGGAGGGGGACGCAAAACGTCGACGGCGAGGTCGAGGAGGAGCAGAGCGCCGATGACGAGGAGGACAACGACGACGAGGAGGACGTCGAGACGAGCAAGAGGAGGAGGCGGAGGAGGAGGAGGAGGAGGAAGAGGAGGACGACGACGACCATGTCCGTCAGCCCTGGGGGGCCTCCCTTCGCCTCGACTCCGATCCTCCCCCGTCCACAGCATTCTCGCACGCTCTGTGCAGCAGCCCGAAGCTCGAGGATCGAAGGCGGGCGACGTGCACGATCATACAGCAGAACATGCAGCACGGGGAGGGGAAGGGTCCAACAGGGCAAAGTGGCAATCCCATCCAAAACCCGACTCAGCCTCCCCCTTCCTGTGGGTGTCCTGGCGATGCTGGCGGCGAAGGCGCTATCCTCCTCCCCCGTCTCCTCTTGCCCCTCCCTCGCCAACTCTGCTGCCCCCTCCCTCCTCCTCATACTCCTCTCCGTCCCCTTTCCGCCACTCTCGCTCCCCCTCCAGCTCCTCCACCTGCTGCGCCTGTCCTCTTCTCCTGCCTCTCCCCCTCCCCCATCCCTCTCCCTCTCCTCGTACTCCGCCTCCTCCTCCTCCTCCTCCTCCTCATGCTCCTCCTGCAATGCTTGACCAACGACCCAGCCCCCGCCGCGACCGGAGGGGGCAAGACCGAACGCCGCGACACGATCGTCCGATCGACTGGATCGGCCGACGGATCGGCCCGACCCCGGTACTGTTGCCAAGGCCGTCCATAGCGTGACCTAAAAGCCGACTGGACAAGCACCGAGACCGAGACCGACCGAAACCGACAGGCCGTAAGAGCCCGTTACTTGCCTTACCATTGAATCAGGAACGCCCCGCGTTCCTCAACACTCCTCCTCTTCCCCCGCCTCCCTCCCCCATTCCCTGCTCCTGCCCTCCACACGCCCCACGCAAGTTTCGCGTCCCCATATGGAGCCCCACCTGAGGCCACACTGGCAGGGCCCGCACGCCGTCTCCACAATATTCCGGCGTACCCCTCACACGTTTCGTGGCCTCCTAGGGAACTCCACCTGATGAGCCAGTAACTCGGTGCACTTGTCTTCTCCGCACCATGTCGGCACATACCTCACACGTTTCGCGGCCCCCAAAAGAGTTCCACGTAAAGTCCCAGCCAGCGGTAAGGCCCGCATGCCTTCTCCGATATTTCGGCGCATCTCTCACACGCTTCGTGGCCCCATAGGGAGCTCAACCTGACGGCCCAGCGCCAGTGCTCGCATACCTTCTCGACACCATTCACGTGCACCCGTCACACGCTTCGCGGCCCCATAAGGAGCTCCATGTGAGGCCCCAATGCCAGCGCCCGCATATCTTCTCCACAACACTTCGGCACACCACTCACAAGCAACGTGGCCACAAAGGGGGCTCCACCCAAAACGCTACTCACACGTAGGGTATTCACAACTGCATATGGTGGGGGTGCTCCAGGAACAACAAGTGGCATGCGTGCCACGACGCTTGCACAGAAAGAGGGGGGAGAAGGCGGAGGTGGAGGAGGAGGAGGAGCTCTGATATGGCCTCCAAGATGGCTCAAGAGATCTCAAGACGCTTTAAGGTGGTCCCCCAATATGCATCCAAGAGGTCTCAAGAGGGCCACAGGACGGCCCCAAGTGCTTTTGGATCCTTGAACAACCTGAGGACAATTTATCAGTTACTCCTTGACACTTTTTCGTTTCCGATAAAGGAGCTTTGAAACTCCCAGGCTAGTCTGGTTGGGGGGGCGGTGCCTGTGCCGTGCGCGGGTGCCGAAATATATTTATTGGTCGTGGCGGAGAGTGCGCGCCAGCTGGGGAGCGAGGGAGAGCTGGGGTGGCTGCTGGGGATGGGAGGGGGGCAGGCGCGGTGCAAGTGCCGTGCGTGCTTGTAGAAAAAAACTGGTTGGGGCGAAAGGGGCGCGCTGGCTGGGAGGAGAAAGGGGGCTGGGCTGGCTGGGGGGGGACAATAATGGTGGCAAGCGCGACCGTAGTGGTAGATATATGTGTGGCCATATGATTAAAACAAGACGAAGTCATAGTAGTAGTAGTAGTAGTAGTAGTAGTAGTAGTAGTATTAGTAGTAGTAGTAGTAGTGGTAGTAGTAGTAGTAGTAGTAGTAGTAGTAGTAGTAGTGGTAGTAGTAGTAGTAGTCGTAGTAGTAGTAGTAGTAGTAGATGCAGTAAAAGTAAGTGTAGTCGCTGTCGTAGTCGTAGTCGTAGCCGAAATATTATTAGCAGTAGTAGTAGTAGTAATAGTAGTAGTAGTAGTAGTCGTAGTGGTAGTAGTAGTAGTAGTAGTAGCAGTAGTAGTAGTAGTAGTAGTGGTGATAGTAGTAGCAGTAGTAGTAGTCGTCGTCGTCGTCGTAGTAGTAGTAGTAGTAGTAATAGTCGTCGTCGAAGTAGTCGTAGTAGTAGTAGTAGTAGTAGCAGTAGTAGTCGTAGTAATATTCGTAGTAGTAGTAGTAGTAGTAGCAGTAGTAGCCGTAGGAGTAACAGTAGTTTTAGTAGAAGCAGTAGCAGTGGAAATAGTAGTAGTATTAGTAATAGTAGTAGTAGTAGTAGTAGTAGTAGTAGTAGTAGTAGTAGTAGTACTGGTCGTAGGAGTATCACTCGCTCTAACAAATACGAGTGGTAGTAGTAGCGATAGTAGAAGATGTAAAGTTAGTAGTCGTAGTAGCAACTGTCGTAGTAGTAGTACCCGTAGTAGTAGTAGTAGTAGTAGTAGTAGCAGTAGTAGTAGTAGTAGAAGTAGTAGTAGTAGTAATAGTAGTCGTAGTAGCAGTAGTAGTAGTAGTAGTATCAGTAATAGTAATAGGTATGAGTAGCACGAACAATGTTAGTAATTCAAAGAGTGGCAGTACAAGTCGTAGTAGTATTCGTAGTAGTAGTAGTAGCAGTCGTCGTCGTAGTGGTGGTAGTAGTAGTAGTCGTAGTATCAGTAGTAGTAGTCGTCGTAGTCGTAGTAGTAGTTGTAGTAGTAGTAATAGTAGAGGTAGCAGTAGTAGTAGTAATAGTAATAGTAGTAGTAGTGGTGGCAGTAGTAGTAGTAGTAGTAGTAGAAGTAGTAGTAGTAGTAGTAGTAGTAGTAGTAGTGGGAATGCTAGTAGCAGTAGTAGTAGTAGTAGTAGTAGGAGTAGTAGTAGCA